GGAGGCAGGGCTGAACTGAGCCCTCCAAAGCCCATGAAATGCGAGCCAATGCAGCCCCAGGCTGGGAGGGGAGGGACAGCTGGCCTACCGGCTTTTCTGACCTCTTCCTCACTGGAGCAGAGTGTGTGGCCCTGCACACCACCCCCAACAGAGCAGACCTGCCATGGAAGTAAAGGCTTGGGGAAGGCGTCCAGGGGCGCCTGATGCTGCTCCAGAGACTCAGGGTCAGAGAGAGCTCGTCCTGCTGAACCTCAGAGCAGTCAAGCACTCCTCAGCAGAGAAGGACACAGGGGACACAGATGCCAGGAGACTGTGCCCTGTCTCCCCTGGGGTCCCCAAAGAGGCAAGTGGGGTTTTCTGGCTGAGCATCAAAGTGTGACTCCAGCTGTGGGCTCAGGAGAAAGGTTGTGACATGAGCCAGGAGGCTGGAGAGCTGGGGGCGAGTGGGAGAATAGCCCAGGAGCAAGGGGCTGAAATGAAGAGCGGGAATGAGGGAACTGGGTCACCCTGGCTCCCTGGTGAGGAGAAAGAAGCAAGGTTGCGGGCCATATGCCACCAAGCAGCAAGGACAGGGCACCAGCACCATGGGGGAGCCTCCCGGAGGCTAGGGGTGGTACAGGGGCTGAAGGGGAGCAGGAAGCTGGCAGGGCAGGAGTGGACCTAGCAATCTGAAGCCATCATTTGTCCAAGGCCTGCTGGGCACTGGGCTAAGGGCTAAGCTTGTGGCAAGCTTTAATTCATTTCATCCTCACACTGATCCTTGGAGGAATGGACTCCTGTTTTCCCCACTGGGCAGATAAGGAAGTCAAAAGCAGACACTGAGTTGCCCAAGCCAATTACAAGTGGCAAAAGAAATAAGCCCACAAAAAACTCAAGAGTCACGCCTCATGACCACAAAATGGGTGACAACTATGGCCCCTTCCAGTCTTGGATGGACCATGCTACTGTGTGGGTTCTGAGCAGAAGGTGGCTTTCACGGGGAACCTACTGCTTCATCTTTGACTAGCAGCAAGAAGAATCTGGACTCTTGGCAAGCCAGCTCTAAAAGGACTCATCCTGGCATCCTGGGCAGATTCATGGGAAGGAAGACAGAAGACGCAGCCCATAGCGTCCCAAGAGGGGAGTGTGTGGGTACAGGGAGGTGGGGCCCAGGTGGGGCCAGGTGATGGAAGGAGTTTGTAGAGAGATCCTTGGCATGCCTGTGTGAGCCAGGAGCCTGCAGAGATGATGGGGAGCGTGAAACTTGGATGCATTTGCCAAATGCGGCCATAAGAACCGAGGGACAGTGGAAAACAATTGTCCTCCATGCATCTGCCACCTTGCAGAGGGCTCTGATGGACTCCTGGAAGGGGGACTCGGAGCAGCTGGCCAAGAGTGTCTGAGCCCCAAGCAGTTCCTGAGGGACCCGCCATGCCTTCCAGGAGCTCCCTGCCCCAGCTCATCTCCCTGTTGTCTCCTGCTCTGAGAAGGCCTTCCAGACGGTCTGTGCTCAGCTCTGCTGCCTCCCTGCAGCCTGGTCACCTGTGCATGAGACCGAAAGGGGTCTGTGCAGCCAGGCCCACAGTTCACACACCATGCCAGGGAACTTTGAAGAAGGGATTGTTGCTGGATGACAAGACTCTCTCCTAAAGCCTCTGGAGAGGTTCTCAGGCACCAGCTGAGCAAATGTTGTCTGGGGCTGGGGAGCTAGCTCGGCTGTCTAAGCGCTGCCTGGCAAGCACAAGAACCCTAGTTTGATCTCCAGTACCACATCCTGTGTCAGCCCAGAGCCCCGGTGCACAGTGCCTGCCACCAAAACCAGGTGTGGTGGCACACGCCTATAATCCTAGTGCTGGAGAAGCTGAGACAGGAGGATTACTGTGAGTCTGAACTGCATTGCAAGACCCTGTATCAAATTAATTAATTAATTAACTAATTAATTAAAAAAGAAAATGTCTACCTAAAGGTAAGGAGGTTTAGGCAGCAGCAGCAGCAGCCATGAACCCTGCTCCCTCCTGCCTCCCAGGAGAGAAGTCAGGAAGGAAAAGGAGGAGAGAGAAACGAAGGCCCAGGCAATACAGAGGCTGGGGCCAGCCTGGGCACGTCAGGGAGCAAAGATGCCTTTCTTCCAGCTGTCTGCTCCACAGTGGCGCACAGCCTGCACTGTAGATATCCCCACCCTTCGCTGTAAGGAGGAAGCCTTCTGGCCACAGGGAGGGAAGGTGCAGTGCCCAGGAGCCGCTGGCAGAGGGCAGTATGTGCACAAAATATAGAGGCACCTGGGAAGGTCTGCATCTTCGGAGACCAGCAGCTGGTGATTGGATGGGAAGGACTGTGATTCAGGAAATAGGACCAGCAGCACCCTCCAACCTTCACTTACCCCAAGGCCTCTGAGCAACGCCTGCTCTCTCTCTCTCTCTTTCTCTCTCTCTCTCTCTCTCTCTCTCTCTCTCTCTCTCTCTCTCTCCAGCACACAGCCCACAAACACAGAAGGCCCCCCCCACAGGAGTTAATGATAAACATGTACTGCAACACGATATTTTGGCAACAAGGGATGGCATATCCCATGGTGAGTCCAGAAGCTATAACGCGGCTGGAAAATCCCCATCTCCTGTTTCACCACGGCCATCACAGCACGGGCATTGCTCACACGTCTCTGGTGACACTGGCGCACACAGGTCATACAAAAGTGTAACACCCACAAGTATGTACAACACACAAGACTGGGTAATGATAACAAATGACCATGCCACCAGTTTGTGTATTTACTGTACTATACTATTTACAATTATTTGAGAGTTTACTTGTTCTGTTTATGAAAATTGAGTACTAGGGCTGGCGAGACTCTTATACTATTCTTGGGTGTCCTCTATGGTGAGTCTCTTAATGGATAAAGGGGTGTCACAACTGGGGGCATGGACCACAGAATCAGACTGAGCTGCAGCTCTCACCTCTGCCATTTTGCCACTGTGTGACCCTCATGAGCTATTCAGTCCCTCTGAGCCTTTGCACCCTCACAACTGAGGCACCAGGGAAGTAAAGAAGCCAACTATTACATGAGTTTGGGGGTGGTACCTCAAGGGTGAGGCCACCAGTCCAGACCCTGGTGCGCCCAACCCCACCCAGTGCTGTGAACAGATTGCTCAGCCCCTAGAGGAGGGAAGAGCATCAGCTTCTTCACCTGTAGAGGGGAGGGAGGGAATTACTGGGTCAACAGCTAGGATGTTTCTTCTCCATTTGCACTTGATGGCTTGGTGTATTCTATCTGGAGGAACCAAGTCCCACATGAACATCGGGGGTGCCGTGTTAGCCAGCCCAGAAGGGATGAGCAGTCTTCCAATAAATTGGGAATGGATGCTGGTAGTTGAGAAAATTGTATTTGCAAAGGCTCATGGGTAAGAAAAGCCTGGCTTGCTTACGAGAAGGCTAGGATATAAAAAGGTAAGGAAAGACGAGCAAGGGAAAGGGGACACAGGCACTTTTACACAAGGCTTGCACTTGGAAAATACAAGTCAGTTGCTACCTGAAGGAGATACAGACATTCTTGCAGAGAAAAATGGCTGAAAAGAGCACCTTTGGGTCTCTTCGCTCCTTGTGTCACTCACTTTTCTTCATGTCCCGATCTGCGGGTTAGTCAACAAGGACCCTAGAGGGGGAGTGGGGATGAGAAGGGACAGGAGACACAAAGAACGGAGACAAGACAGGATTTTGATCAAGTCTCGTTTACTCAGGGGAGGTGCTGGGTATATATAGGGAGTGTAGGAATGAGGAAGTCTCGGCTCTTGGGGCTCAGCAGGTATCTAGGCAATGGGGTAAGGTGCCACCCCTGGGGCATAGCACGTGATTCACGGGGAATGGGCAAGGTGGGAAGAACCATAAACTTAACTCAGCAGGGGAATAGAAACTTAAGAAAATGGCTGACACTATTATAAAATGGATACCAGTTAATGGCTTCCCACATCTTCACAGCACTCCTTACTCTTGGAATTGCATTAGATACTGCTGTGTTAGTGACTTATTTCTCTCTCTCCAGTCATCTGTGAGCTCTCTTAAGATCTGGCCACTCTTGTTTATTTTGATTCCCAGCACCTAAACATGCACAGACCTCACACTTGAGGGTGAAAAGCAACTTGGCAAAAGAAGAGGAAGACAGGGACAGTGTGGGGACATGGGGTCAGGAAGTGGAGACAGCAGAGGGAGGCATAGGAAGAAGCAGGAAGGGCCACCCTGGCAAGTCCAGGCAGCAAGTGGAGGAAGCACCAGCTCTTCAAGGAACTGAGCTGCAAGACATGTGGCAGCTCCAACTCCTGGCAGTCCGGGCTGCAAGGCACCTCTGGAGGGGAGCATCATTCTCGCCACCTATGACACAGCGCACAGGGCCCACTGAACTGGCCCAGAAGCTGCATCAGTAATAAATCCAGCTGTTTACCACATTCGGCTTTCACCCAGTGCCCACCTGGTTAGAACCACACAGCAAAGGCCTGCATGAGGTTGGGAACTTGGAGGGGAGCAACAGCCAGACCAAGAAAAGGTAGAACAATGCAGAAGTCAACATCGGGATCACAGATTCCATGCTGAGGACCCAGTGGTGCTGTTTTGGATATGGCTTGTCTCCAAAGACTCATGTTAGAATCTGATTACCAATGTGGGGGTGGTAGGAGGTGAGACCTTTGGGAAGTGACTGGATTGGTGGACTGATGTCTTTCAAATGACTGGATTAGTTCTCTCTCAAGGGCTGTCAGGAAATGGATCTGGCATATCCCATCTGTCTCTCACATACACTCTTTCCCTACATGCCCGCTTCTCCTTTCTGCTCTGGCACCGTATAACAATACAAAGCTCTCACCAGAAGCTAAACAGACGCTGGTGCTATGCTCTTGGGCCTCAGAACTATAAGCCAAGATTAATCTCTGTTCATTCTAAATTCCCCAGCCTCAGCTATTCTGTCATAAGCAACAGAAAACAAGAGACCAACAATAGCCATCATTTATTGTAGAAGCAGAGAACTTGACACAATTTTAGTCAAAGGACAAAAAAAGCCCCTCGGCATTAAAGGTCCCAAAGGCACTGGGCAGAGGAGCTGGCAGCTGGCTGCATGGAGACATCCAAGGTGTGTGCATTAGCTCTGTGGGCGGGGGAAGTCACCCAGTGAAAGGTGACTGGAAAGAATCCCAGTGACACAGCCCTTGGCTGGCCTTCCCAGAACATGAAGAAATGGTAGCATTGAGATTGTGGTAAGAGACAGGGACTTCTTGACCTGGAAAGGGCCCAGGAGAGGAGGAAGTGGCTGGGCTCTGCAGCCTTCTGCTCACAGCACCCCAACTGCCTGTCATCTGGAGGTCTTTCTGGGTCCACAGCTGCTGCCTGAGGTCTTGCTGAGAGGATCCTTGAGCTCGCTGACGCTGACATGGTTGCTTTTGGTCTTGACATCTACTGCTGCAGGCTTGTAGCTGTAATTGCTTGAGGCACCAAAGCCCACACTAAAACCAGCTCCTCCTGTCCCAGCAGTAGTGCTGCTGATCACTGCTGGAAAGGGTGAGGGAAGACCCCAGTCAGCCCTCCCACTGCTGCGGCAGAGGGCCTGCTGAGGCATCCAGGGCTACTGCCCCAGCTCTCCCCTGCTCTGGGTTCATGTTGACCTATTCTCTTTCTTATTAAAGTTTTATATTTTATTAAGATAATTTCATGTGTTTTCCCCATTTAGGCTTTTTTTTTTTTTTTTTTTTTAATTTTATTCATTTCTGTGTGTGTATGTGACCGGCTCAGCCCACCAGGGGGCGGGGCTGGCTGGCATGTGGTGCTGGGGATTGAACCGTGGTCCTTGTGCTTTAGCTGAGCTTGTTCTAAGTAGGTGCTTTAGACCACTGAGCCATCTCACCAGCCCTATTTTTTTCTTTCTTTCTTTCTTTCTTTCTTTCTTTCTTTCTTTTTTCTTTCTTTATGAGCAGAATATACTTATTGAGGGAAAGAAAGCTCCTGTCCAAAGAGGGACAGGAGAGGGGCCCGAGCGGGTAGTTCCCTGGGAAGCTGTCTCTTCCAGGGACTTTTATAGTGTAAAACCATGTAGAGCTAAGGTAGAGAGAATGGGCACTCGCTTAGGTGGAGGTGGGGTGGGACAAAACTATGGTCAACCAATGGGATTACAAGCACCATTGCTCAGGTAAAACTGATTAAATCCAGTATCAAATGGGAAAGCGAGTCATGTAGCAAGCAGGCATGAATAGAGCATGAACACAGGACAGGATCTCTTCCCATTGGGGGTTGGGCTAGTGACTCACTTGGGTCTTTTCAGGTGAAGGATACTCATTTAGAATATCAATCCCAGGTGCTAACCTTTTAGCATTTGTTTGGCCTTTAGGTCTTTAGATCTGGTTCACAGCAGGAGCATCCGTCCCTCCCACAGTTGTCTTTGTCTTCTGTGCTGGCTCCTTCAAGGGCCTGGCCCTGTCTGACTGCCTACAATATTTCTATCTAACTCGGCTGCCTGTAATAGTCCCCCCTCTGAAGAAGTAACCTGAACTGCCGTGAAGGGAAACATGGGCGAAGACCGCTCTGTGCTCGCTCCGGCTATTCTTTCCTGTGGATTTCCCACTGAGAGGTTCTTATGAGCACTCATCGCGTGTGGCTTCGTTTCCATGTGCTCAGCCCCACGTATTTGACCTTCCCTAGCAGTCTGCGTCAATCTATTGATATCAGACTTTAAGGCCTTAGCAGACAAAGCTCTACCAGGGAGTTTCCCTGAGGACAGGACAAAATGAAGACAGGAGCCACATGAACAGAGGACTTCATGCTGCTGCTGCTGCTGCTGCTGCTGGGGTGGGGGGAGGCCCTGGAAATATCCATTTCTCTTAGTATCCAGCATCTCTCAGGATTTAAGCCTGAAGGTGAATGTTTAGGTGCCTTTTTAGAAATTGTTCTGCCTTTCAGGCCTCTTCCAATCCCTTTTCTTACAACATAGGGTCTTTATGTTGGTCTGATCTCAAAGCAAATGGAAGGCGGCCATGAAGCATTGTGCTTACAGCAGACAGCTGGGCGCCATCAGATTAATGATATTATTGTTCTCCATCCATTACTTCCCTTTCACTGCTGAAGTCAGCTTTCTTTGCCATCCTTACATCTCTGCTGAACCCTCTCTGTGATTCCGTTTTGTCTTTTGTTTCATAGAGTTATGGGGACTTAGACTTCTGGTAAAGTGACCATGGTCAGAACTGAGATGCGCAGGTACTTACAGACACTCATGGAATTTGGGTGGTCACCAGACATCCTGTAGGGGGAGAAGACAACAGGTGACTCCTCCCTCATTATCTCCCAGTCTCTCAGGGGGTCACCGCCAGGAATAAGTTTCTCTGCTAAGAACATCTCCCCAACACCATCGGGCCTCCTTCCTTCCTGCTCCCAGCAGGACCTCTCAAGCGATGGAGAACTCAGGAGAGAGCTCTGCTGCAGGAGTCACTCGCTGTCCAGCAGGTCTCTGGGATTCTCTGTTGCATGGCTGATTCAGTCCCACTCCCTCCCACCCCAGGGATCCCATTAGACTTAGACTATTAAGAAGGAGTCCACATCCTCACTCAGCCCCAGACACTGCTAATGCAGCTCTGCGTGTACAGGCAGTCTGAAGAGATACTGCAAATCACAGGAGGAAAGTGGAGACTAATAACATCCCTATTAATCAAATGTTTTTCGAGTAATGATTTGAACTTGGATGACTCTTGCTGGCCATCGTGCACCCCTCCCCACCTGCCCATACACCTTGACAAATCCAGGAATGCTCTGTTTCTCAAAAATTGTGACATTAATATTCTGTCTCACAAGCTCTGTGATTGTCACAATTTGATCCTTCTTGCTGCATAACTTCCCAACCACCAGGGAAGCCTGCTTGCTGGACGGATTTATTTCAGTAGGGCACCTGAACAGAACCACACTGTTTGCCTTGGGCCTTCTATTAAAGCAGAGAGGAAAACTGTCCCACACAGGTTGTCCGCCCCTCACCGGCTCTCCTCGCCCTCCAGCAGCATGCGGTAGGTGGTGATCTCGATGTCCAGCTCCATCTTCACATTCAAGAGATCCTGGTACTCCAGCAGCAACCGGACCAGCTCCTCCTTGCCCTGCTGCAGGGCACCCTCCAGCTCATGGAGCTTAGCCTGGGCGTCCTTGAGGGCACAGTCTCCCTGCTGCTCTGTGTCAGTGATAGACGTCTCCAGGTTGGAGCACTGAGGGGCAAAGAGATTCAGCACTTTGAGTCAGAGTCCAGTTCCGACCTCTTGTGGTCATGACTGAGCAAATGTTTCAATTGCCTCCTGGTTGATTTAACTTTGGGCATCAATAAAATTGAGACAGTCCTTCTCTAGACTTCACACAGGAGCCATCCCAGCTCAGTCCTCAGCATCTGAAGTAGAGACCTATCCCTGGGAGAGTGGAGGGGCTGGGTACCAAGATGGGCTATGTGGACTCAGCCCTGTCCCACCGAACCTGAAGTATCAGCTATACAATTCTAAGAACAACCCTGAAAAGTCTCCAAGTGGCCATACCTAGTGCAGCTCCATGTGTACAGGCTGTCTCAGGAGATACTGTAAATCACAGGAGAAGAGTGAGGACTAATAACATCCCTATTAATCAAATGTTTTCCAAGTAAACTTACCACACCTAGAGTCTCACCCCCAGAACCCCCATAGAGAATTATATTAAAAGTCAAGGATAGGCTTCAAAGATGTTCTTACATAACAAACAGGTTCTACGAGAGACACACACCTCTGGTTGGTGGAATCGTGCAACCCACCAGAGGCCACGCAGATGGAACTGCATGCTTGGGCGCATGTGATAGCTCCAGATCCTTCCTGAGTTTCATAGTCTGAGTGTTTTCTTGCTTCTCAGCTAAGGTTTTGACAGGATCTAAGCACCGGCTTTCTGTTTCTGGGGTGTACCCTCCTGTGGACTTGACTTTGCTTCACATCAAGGAAAGCAGCAGCTAACCCTGATGCCAAACAGATTTATACACTGTCTGAAGCAGGCACTACCACCTTGGCTAGGCAGCCCCTGGCTTAGTCAATGCCCACGACCTCAGGAAGATACCCAGGACCCAGCTACCTCACCCCAGAAAGTTGTGTGTCCTTCTTGGGACTGCGAAGGTCTCATCATGAAGGAGGGTATTAATAAACTCTGCCACCTGAATTCAGCCTAATAGTCCTCTGTCCTTTTTCACTGACCAGGACTCACAGGGTGAACCCAGGAATGTCAAACACTTGGATCTTCTGAATATTGTGGGAGTTGAGAGGGCATGAAATTTTAGCATTCTTTAGAACAAATATTACATGGATTTTGGGGCCACCAAATGCCAAGAGGCGCTGATGTGGAACTGTGAACTTCTTCTTTGGTTGAGGAGGCAAGAAGAGCAAGAAAGGCCCTTGTCTGAGGCCACTCAAGAGATGCCTGACAGCTGGGGATGTAGCTCAGTGGCAAAGGACCTGCCTGCCAAGAGCAAGGTCCTAAGTTCAATTCCAAGTACATAAAAAAAAGACATTTAAATAGGAACCCAGTGTTGCAGGCTCCCCTCAGAAATGTCTGCCCTGAACAACAGAGTGAGGGACTGTTCTAATCTGAAAAATGTCATTTTTCCAGTAATAACCTCACCTAACCATGAGTACACAACATTTGTTACTCTTTCTTCTTCCCACTACCATGGCCCACTGCCCAGAGGAACAGTAGTGCGTGCATGGGGGGCAAAGGTGGGGGTTGGAGGATGAGGAATGAAAAGGAGGGAAAGGAAATGGGGCAACAACCTGCCTAGGAAGCTGAGATCCTGAAACCCTTGCCCTGACCTCAGCACACTTAAGGTAATTTGTGGGCTTGCTGCCTTGCAGGTGTCTCAAATTGTATGCTTCCAGAGAGGGGAGTGGTACAGTGTCCCTCCACAGCACCACCACAGCGAAGGCCACTCCACTACAGACCCTGTTTAAAGTCCTCTATGGATTTGTTGTCCACCAAGGAATTGTGTGAAGTTCCTCCAAGTGGCTCCCCCTACCTACTAAAGGGGAGTCGCCCAATCTCAACCCCACTGGCTGGCTTTGAAGGCTGTGTATAACCTAACTACTCCAACCCAGTGGTGACCTCCACTCTCACTGAGTAGCACTTCTGGTTGGCTCCTCCATGTGCATGCACCACCTCCACCCACTACTCTTGTTGGCTCCTCCACCCGGACACATTCCCTTCCCCTTTACTCCTGTCCCAGTGTAAACCCACCTCTTACAGAAAGTTTCTCTTGTGTCCTCATTCACCTCCAATCCCTCTGGACCTCTACAGTACTTACAACAAATCTTGTGCCATGCACAACACTTTTTCTGCATATGTTCTGACCCACCTCTCCTGGTAAGTTATAAATGCCTAAGGAAGGGACCATGACTTACCCTTTCCCTCATGTTCTGCCTTGTCCAGGTTTGTGCTCAATAAGCCTCATCCACTGATTCACTTCCTACAACTCACCTGTTTCTTCACATTCCCTATCTCTGAGCGCAGCCTCTGGATCAGCCGGTTGACCTCGGAGATCTCAGCCTTGGTGAGTTTGAGGTCATCCCCATGCTGACCTGCTGTGACCTGAAGCTCCTGGATCTGAGGTGGAATGACAAAAGAAGAGAAGCACAGGGCAGTTGGGAATTCATCTGTGTAGGGGTGTTGGGAACAGGGACAATGACCACATTTGTGCTTATAATCAAAGCCATGTTTGTACAATTGAAGATAGCTTTAAACCTTTGCAATGGCCTCTATAAATACTGGGAAATTCATGGGTTTGTTAGCCTCAGAGGAGAGTTTGAAGGAAGATGTAAGGGGAAAGGGAGAGGGAAAATCCACTCTTTTCTCCTAGAGTAGAAGGAACCTCCTCTAGTTCAACAGGATTCTTGAGCCCTCAAATATGAAAGCATTGGTGGAGTCTGAATTTTCAGTCTTCATTTTGACAAAAACAGAAACAAGAAGAAAAACCAAGCTAATGCATTATCCAAAGAAACTGTGGTGGTCTTATCAGATTGTGGGTTATATGGCCTCAGCTGAGAGAAAAGCTAATTCCATGTATGCCTCCATTATACGCTAAGACTGTGATCTACCAAGAGGCATGGTCATGAAGCCTTACTCCAATACAAAGTAGTCTCCACTGTGTCCCAATACACATGCACACACACACAGGCACACGTGGACACACGAGCACACACATGCACCCATGCACATTCACACATACACACTTGACACACAGCTCACCTTGGTCTGATACAGGCACTCAGCCTCAGCCTTGCTCTTCTGGGTGATCTCCTCATATTGTACTCGAACCTCATCAATGATGCTGCCCAGATCCAGGTCCCGGTTATTGTCCATGGACAGAATGACAGATGTGTCACTGACATGGGACTGCATCTGAACAATCTCCTGGGAACAGTTAAGGGAGGGTAGCCAGTTGAGGGGAGGCTCCCATGTGGGGACCATGTCTCCTGATCCAAATTTCCCACTGCTTTTCCTGCCCTTCTTCAATGTTCAAACCCTGTCAGAGCATAAGTGGCTTCCAGGCATAGGAATGGACACGTTGAGTTTCAGCCCTAAGAAATGGGACTCCCCTTTTCACCAGGTACTCTGGACCATCCTACCCTTCCACACTCTCTTCCTCAACAGCTAGCAATCCACCATCCCCTTCACAGAATCCAGTCAGAGCTCTTCTCATGGCACCCAGAGGATTTGAGGGAGTCACCTGCTTCACATCCTGTCCTTTGATCCATGAACCACCCCAGACATGGACCGTGAGCCACCTGCAAGGGGAACAGTCTGCACAAGAGAGATCAGTGAAGCTCTTACCTCTTCGTAAAGGTACTTGAAAAATTTAATATCTTCTGTCAAAGAGTCCACCTTGGCCTGCAGATCGATCTTGTTCATGTAGGCAGCATCAACATCCTAGGAAACATGACCACCAGTCTGCCTTAAGAGGGTCAGCTGCCCTCTCTTCTCCACCTTCCCTGGATCCATCCACTCCCCTCACCTCACACTTCAAAAATGATCCAATCCCAGAGAGAAAACCAACACAGAAGTGCAATAGAATGCTCCGATGTCAAATTGCAGATTCTAGGAGCAGCATGGATCCCAGGCAATGGGACTCAGAAGGAGGAGCTGGGAAGCTAGAATTCTAGTTACTCTTGTCCAAGAAACTGAGTAATCTGGAGGGTTCCTTTACCCACCCTACCAACATCAGTGTGCCAGCTGGTGGGAGCCATCTAAGTTTTGTCCAGGTCTACTGCACCCTTCTTACCTTCTTCAGCACCACGAACTCATTCTCAGCAGCAGTGCGTCTGTTAATCTCTACCTCATACCTGTGTAGGACAGAACAGGACATGGCAGTGTCACTGGGATCACTCAGTTCTGCAAATGCTCACTGAGAAGTTAGAGGTCAGGTCTGTGCCAAGACTGTGGGTATGGTCATTTGTCCCTGAAGCACACCCAGCCTTCCCCAGGGAGACACGGACAAGAGTAAGTTTGCAACTCCTCAGTTCACAAGCAGTCAGCCCTAAAATGAATTACCTGAAAGTAGTGGTGGCAGAGACACTGTGAAGATTCTACCATCTTGATTCCCATTCACAGCTGCCCTCTCTCCTGTTACAACAGGAAGGCATGTCCTCTAGATATGGCACAATGGCCCCGGTCACTAGAGCCCCCAACCCAAAGCAAAAGCACCAGTCTCACTTCTAAGTGTGTGTTATTTCTTATATACATTTTTGCTCCAGGTGAAGCAACTTCTTAGAAACTGTTCAGATGGGGATGGGGTATTTCTCATATGGTGATTTATCAATTGAGGTAATATGATTATTGATCATCTTGTTTAAAGAAACCAAGTCTTCCAGCCCTTGCTATTATCAAAAGGAAGTATTACAAGACATTTGAGCTAGACATGATAGTGTGCACCTGTAATCCCAGCACTTGGGAGCCCGAGGTAGGAGGATTGCCAAGAGTTTGAGGGTAGCCTAGGCTACATAAGTACTAAGTTCAATTCCAGCCTGAACTACATAGTGAAGCCCTATTTCAAAAATGCAAAAATAAAAATAATTGACATTTAAGAAAACAAAGAAATGGACTACTGGCAACAAATAATGCTAAATAGGTAAGCCAAATGCAGCATATACATACCAAGAAGTAGTATTCAGGCTTAAAGGCAATTCTGCAATATAATACCACAGGGATGAACCTCAAGGACACTAAGCTGGGTGAAATAAGCCAGTCATAGAAAAAGCAAACATGTATGATTTTGCTTATGTAAGGTAGTCTTAAAGTAGTCAAATCATAGCAACAGAGGGGTGGCTGTCAGGACTGGAAGGAGGAAGGAAATGGAGAATTACTATTTAATGAGTACAGAATTTCAGTTTTGCAAGATGAAGTTATGAAGGTGGCTAGCAGTGATCGTTGTGCAATGGTTTGAGTCTATTTAACATCACTGACCTACGCACTTCAAATGATTTAGAAGGCAAACTTTATGCTATGTATGTTTTACCACAATAAAAAGTACACATGATACATGCTACCCACCTAGAAATTTGTAGTTTAATAGAAAGGTAAATGTACTCAAAATGCTAATTCAAGGATGATTTATATTAGGATCTGTTATGAGATGTTATAAGGCAGGAACAAAAAAAACCCTTAGTTGAATAAATTAATAGTCATAATAAGTGATTATGAGTAACATTTGCTTTACACCTTCCTTCATGCTATTGTGCTCAACTAATCACGTCACTTCATTCCCACAACAAACTTTTGAAATTATTTCTACTATCACCTCAATTTTATACATGAAGAAAAAGACAATAAAATACTTGGCCGAGATCATAATGCTAATGATTCAAATACAAGATTTTGAACATCAGGGAAACAATGCCTTACATGTGTTTTATACTTTGATTCTTTTAAGAGCTGTTAGAGGAATGAAAATGTCTCTGGCTAATGACTTCTACCTGCGCTACTATGTAGGGCACAAGGGAAAGTTCGGACATGAGTTTCTGGGGTTTGAATTTTGGCCAGACAGGAAGCTTAGATATGCCAACAAATGCAATTACAAAAATGATGTTATGATCAGAAAAAAGGCATATGTCCACAAATGTGTAATGGAAGAACTAAAGAGAATTACTGGTGACAGTGAAATGACAAAAGAAGACGATGCTTTGTGGCCACCACCTGACCGGGTTGGCCGGCAGGAGCTTGAAATTGTAATTGGAGGTGAACACATTTCCTTTACCACATCAAAGGTGGGTTCTCGGGGATGGGGAGTTAGCTCAGTAAAATAAGTGCTTGCATGGCAAGCGCAAGGGCCTGAGTTCAATCCCCGGTTCCGCAAAAAAAAAAAAAAAAAAAAGGTGGGTTTTCTTAAGGTTGTAAATCAGTCAAAAGATCCCAAAGGCCTTTGAGTATTTTACTATTTGGTACAAGACTCCAAATGTGTAGCTTTCAGTCTCACTGGATGCACTTCAAGATTAAACCAACTTAAATTGTATATTTGTGAAGATTTTTGTATATTTGAGGGGTGGGGAGGGAGGGTTCATCATTTATAATATTAGGATTTTTATGAATGTGGAAACAAACTTTTTGAATGTAAACTGAACATAGAAGAATATATAAACAGACTTAATGGTTTTTCTCCCTTGGGTCTAAGTAGATAAGACTATCCACATACACATCAAATTCTGTAAATAAAAGCCACTTTTTCTTGAAATTGTGCTCTAATGAAACATCAAAGTCTGTACAAAAAAAAAGAGCTGTACACTGTACAAGTTATCCTTCCAACAGTTTTATTAGTGTCGAGGTAAGTATCAGCATTAGTTTGTGGTTTCATTTGGTTTTTTTGTTTGTTTGTTTGTTTGTTTTTCCCAATACTTAGGATTGAATTCAGGCCTTTGCAATGAGCTACATCCCAGTCATTTTTTATTTTTTATTTAGAGGCATTTTTTCATTTTTTATTAAGTCAAAACTACAATCCACCTGCCTCAGCCTCATGGACTGCTGAAGCAGACAGCAGTCTGGACTAAAGAGAGGCCCCACCACACCAACTCGGTTCTTCTAAATGTTAGTATTAAAGTTCACAGTGAACCAAGAGTCTTGCCCATGGCTGCTCAGTAAGCAAGTGGTAATTTTGGGACCCTGGATGTGTCCCCTCCAGAGACAGCACAGCCCCTGCAAACCTGTACCTTGAACTATGCCTTTCTCCCCTACTTTCCAGGCCTGGCTTTGATCACTGAACTCCAATTTCCATCTTAATTCCACTTGATCTCAGTTCACACTCTTTTCGTTTCTACTAGGTGACAGATTCTCTACCCTTTCCTCACAAACTGTGCACTCCGTGAGATCAGGAACCATGTCACCTCCTCCCATGCAGTCTCCATACAGAACTCAGGCCCAGGTCCTGCTACAAGGGGACTTCCGAATAAGGATGGGTTAGCAGCCTGAACGTGGAGCAAGGGAAAGAACACAGCCCTGACTACCTGCACCCTGTAAAATTGTGGAAGAAGCCACCAACTCCTAGAAATCCTGGCATCTTCTGAAATACTAAATCAAACTGCACCTAGACTTTTAAATTTTCTTGTGATGAGCTCAATTCAGAGGGAGACAATCTCTAATTTCATAGACATTTCCATTTTATCCTTCACAAAGAGCATAAAATAAATTTTTCAACACAAAACATGTCTTCAAAAATTCATTTTTGCTTAATTTTTAAATTTGTTCTGAGATTAGTGGGGTGTTTAATATTTTGGGAACTGCCACAGCAATCTCACTCCAGAGGGGCCACAAAGCCAGCCGGCTTGTGCATTGGGTGTTGACTCAATACTCTTTCCTCTATTCTTCTTTTTCTAAGAGTAGAAATTCAACATCCATTTCCTACAATTTCAAGCACTGTTCTGGGTAGATGCATTGCTGTCATAGGTCCCATTCTACCTGGATGTCCCTGCCTTTCTTGTGGGACAGAAAATAGTAATGGTCTCAGCAAAGGACCTAAGAAGACATAAATGCTGGCTGGAAATAGAAACCTCACCCGCAGTCACACTCTCCAGTAGCATTTTCTCCGCCTCCTACTCACCTCTTCTTGTAGTCCTCCACTATGTCCTGCATGTTCCTCAGCTCTGATTCCAGCCTCACCCTGTCCCCAGACAATGCCTCCAGCTGCTTCCGCAGGCTGCTGATGTGGACCTCGTAAATGGGCTCCAGCTTCTTCCTGCAGTTGTTCAGGTCCAGTTGTTGCAGCAGCTCCCACTTGGTCTGCAGCACCTGGTTCTGCTGCTCCAGGAACCGCACCTGAAACCCAAAGGTGATCATGACCCACAGTCGCTATACTATTGCCTGTCACAAGTGGGACGGGATAGAGCAAGGCTCACTAGACGCTGTATGCAGCCAGAGGGACATGATCATTTGGATGTCCAAGACAAGAAGCAAGATCCTGTCTACAAGAAATCAGGAAGCAGGCTTAAGCCATGATGTCATCCATCCCTGCCTTGGTGAGTGTTCATGTGATTAGGGTGGCTTCTCATTCTAGATTCTGGGAAACAGCAGAGGAGAAGCAGACTGGGAAGTCACTCTGGTAGTTAGGATGGTTTGTTCCACGGAGCCTGAACTGCTCTTGATTGGTTGAGTTTCTGTTGTTGTTATTGTGCAAAGCATTCTGCCAACTAGTGAAAGTTCCTCATTTCAGGCTCTTGGTAGTCACTGGCATTCCTCTTCTTGCCTACCGCTAAACTTGGTGACACAGGAAACATGTGCAAGAACAACTATCTTTGAAAGAGGAAAGGGATGGTGCCTGTCCTCCAAAGCAGGACTTGTGTTTCTCCTCCTCCTGGTCTAGCACCTCTAGGTACCTCACGCCTCTTCCCTAGCATGGTGGTGCGGTGGGCAGCCCACTACTGATGGTGCCATCAATTTGAGCCCATTTGTAATTATTCTTCTTGTGTTAGTTTCCTTTTCTTCAAGGCAGAATAATAACAGGATCAGTGATTGTGCATTGATAAATGTGTCACTTGGGACAACACTAGGAGCCAAGTAATGTCTCCATCAGTGTCAGCTATGGTCATTATTATTATGTCTGTTCCTTAGTCACCACTTGTGGTCCAGTCCTGTTTCCTCAGTGAAAAGGAGAAGCCCCCTCCCAGCTTCCTCCCCACTCCCTGGGGTCACTGCCATTGAACCCCCAGAGAAATTTTTCCTGCTATGCTCGTTTCTGAGCTCACCTCACTTCACATGCCTTCCTTTAACATGTCCCATGAGCGCCATCTTTCAATTGTGTGGCCTTTTTCTCCTGCTTCCCTTGGAAACCTGCCCATCTTACATGCTCACTGGCTTCCTACCCTTCCAGTGCTTCCCCATTCACCTCCACAGCTTTTGGTCTGTGTCCCCCTATGCTTCTGTTCTGGTACTGACAGCCCACAAGCCATTCATTCCACAGCTCTCCTGCTCTGAGGACCCCTTCCCTTCCCAAGGTCTTGTGTCCTTCCACAAGAAGGAATGAGATTCTCCTTTATTGGGAGCGTGTGCCAACCACTGCAAGCATCCCATTCGGTCCTCCTTAGCTCACACTGCAGTTATATTGTGTCCATTTTAAGAATGAGGAAAGGTTGGCCGAGAGGTATTAACTCGACCCAGTTCCACCAATCACGCTGTACACGGGACCCCACCTCAGACACCCACAGGGCCTGGAGGACCCACCTTGTCGATGAAGGAGGCAAACTTGTTGTTCAGCACCTTGATTTGCTCTCGCTCTTGTACGCGCACCTTCTGGATCTCACGGTCCAGCTCCACGTTGAGGGGAGCCAGGAGGCTCTTGTTGACGATGACCTGAGGGATGCCACCGGGCGGGCACACGGAGGGACATGCTGGCCCCAGCCCCGCGCTGCCGAAAATGGTGCCTACAAAGCCTCCTGGGCGGCCACTGGCCGCGCCGCCATGGCCCAGCGCGAAGCCGCCGCCGCGCTCCAACCCAGCGCTGCGCGCCTGGCGCCGGCTGCCTCCCAGGCTGAAGAGGCTCCTGCTGCCGAAGGGCGTCGCCCCCTTGGCCCCGGCCCTGAACGAAGAGCGGCTGCTTCCAAACCGGCCGGAGAGGACAGCCGAGCAACCGCTGAAGCCCAGGCGCTCGCCGCCTGCTAAGAGGGTCAACTGGCGGCTCATGCTGGTGAGGACTGGGAAGGCTGCGGGGCGATGGCGTGCGGGTGGGCCAGGGCCGCTGCTACCCTCGGCCTGGCTCTGCCCTTAAATAGTCCAGCAGATTGGAGTCAGACTAATTTGTAAGTTGGGAACACCTCTGAGATCACTTGGTTCTGCCTTTCGGAAATTACCATCCTCTCCAAGATTTTTGTCTCTTCCCCCGGACTGCCCGTAAATCTCTACAAAATGGCCTAGAACCCTGCATTTTCTTTGCTGACTTCCTGCATTATAATAATTTGGCTACCTTATCTCCACATGCAGCCTTCCAATTACCTTGCTCCCCAAGGCCAAGATCGTCAGTGTAGAATTCCAGTAGGGCTGGCCCCAGGGTAAGGGAAGCAAGCATCTGGAGCAGAAGCTCAGGCTTCCCATCAGACTGAGCCTTCCCCAACCTGCTCCCCAGAGTTCAGCCCTGGATGACTGTGAAGCACACTGATGCTGAGGACAGGACTCCCTGCTGGACGCCCGGTTCTACCCTGGAGTCTGGTGGGCCTCTGGGCCCTCACAGGTGGCAGATGGTACTTGGAAGTAACTGAGTGACACACTGGCCACTTAGCCAATCCTGGGGTATAATAACAACCAAGCTGTTTACTCCTCAGGGAACAAAGTTGTGAGGACATCTGTGAGTGGTGGAGGTTGTGCCAGACACAGATCAATGAATAGAGGAGTCTAGAATGTCTTCAGCAGGGAAGTGGGTGGGCTTTGTGCTGTAGGAGAAGGAAGGGCTATCGTCCATTCCTTCTAGTGAGGAGAACCCATGAGCTTTTCATTATTTCATGAACTTTCCCCCACCTTCACCCCATGATTTTAGGGAAATTCTTCCCTATAAGCCCAAGAAACAGTTTACTAGTTCTGACCACTAAAAATAGGAATCCAAAAAAAAAAAAAAAAAAAAAAAAAGATTTGGGCTGAAAGAGGAGCACCCTCACATAGCACTGATTACAAAGGGAGTCTTCAGAGTCATCTTTTTCTCTGAAAACTTTATAAGAAGGCGAGATACCTATATTCTGGCACCAGGACTCTTCCACCCAGTCTTAGGAACCAGATGAAATGCCTTTTTCCTATCTTCTATGAAGGCTTCACTCTCTGGATGACTCAGGAGTTCCTCAACCCTGCCATTGTCTTTATTACAGATGATAGGGAGACCAAAGTGACACATGCAGGTTTCAGAGGCCTTGAATATGTGGGGACATGGGCAGATCAAAGGTAGCTGAGGCCTGGGAGGAAGGGCTGTCATGGCACCTGCCTCTAACAGCAGGTTACTATGTCAGCTCAGGTGCCACTACCACCTCTACCATTAATTCTTGGGTTAAATCACTCAGCATGGGTAGACTAAGCCAGAAACATCCCCCAAGGAATATATGTGCTACAACAAAGATGGATAAACTCACTCTAAGCTGATGTTGCAAAATATGCAAGTTATATTGGGTCTCTTTTGTCCTGGAATACTATAGTGTTCTTGGGAAATCAGCAGGTATTATGTGGGGAAGAAATGTGAAGATGGATTCCATGCTGGGCTTTAAAAAGTTCAACAGGTGTCTTATTGTAACACTTTTTAGAGCCATTAATATTTTTAGTGCTGGAGGATTTTTAGAGCAGTGAATCTGTGGCATATGACACTATAATGGTGAATATATGTCATTACACAGTTATCCAAAACTATAGAATGTGCAATTCCAAGTGAGCACTTATATAAACTGTGAGTTTGGGGTGATAATAGCAGGCTTATTGCATCTCACAGATGCACCGTCTGGTGGGGTGTTGACAGTGGGGGAGGTGAGGGATGCAGAGGAAGTCTGTGTGCCTGCCACTCAGCTTTATTGTGAACCTAAAGCTGCTCTAAAAGAGTTAAGTTAAATCAGATGAGAGTGGTGGCACATGCCTATAATTCCTATAATTTGGGAGACTGAGGCAGGAGGATTGCTGCAAGTTTTAGGCCAGCTTGGGCCACGGACATGTGAAGAACAGCCTGAACTACATAGTGAGACCCTGCCTCAAAAGCCAAAAGTTAAATCAGATTTAGATAGATAGATAGATAGATAGATAGATAGATAGATAGATCAATCTAAACTCTTGTTAACAATACAACAAGATATTTAGTGTGAGGAGTTGGAGAGATAGCTCAGTAGAATAAGCACCTGCCTGTCAAGTGCAGGGTTCTGAGTTCAATCCCCAGTACTCCCCCCTCAAAAAAAAAATTTAGTGTTTTCTGTTGCACAAAAGTGTGTTTTTTAAAAAATTCAACCTTTTCTAAATGCAGGGACTGGAAGCATAAAACTATGAATAATATTTTTTCTACTTTTTAATATTTCTAATTTTTCTAATATGAGTATACAATTGTATACATGAGTTATTCATAAATTCTAGTACCAGAAATAAATTAATATCCTAGGTTAGAGCCAAAATGTCTCCCAAGTCACATGGAGAGAAAAAACATTTTCTCAAGCTTTCACAGAGAGCAAATTGGTCAAGCAATGGCTGTGACTCATCCTCATGTCAGACACTGACAAAAGGATGTACAAAAGGTGGTACAGGGCTACAGGATAAATCCTTAGAGTACTTGGCTGACCTTATCAGATACAAAAGTTACATTT